ATTAATCATGGTTTTGAATATTTAGGTAGTGCGTTATGAAATGACTTGAGTTTTGAATGCTGGCATTCTGTATAAAACATCAGAAGTTAGAGGATTTTTAATGTTATCTTTGAACAGAGAAGTAACGTTTTAATGTTCCAAACCACCAACAGGTCTGGTGGTTTTGAGGTAGAAACAGCACTTTATATGACCTACTTTTAGAGAGGCAAAATTTAGTTTTGAAAAGGAGTCGAAATGTTGTGTAATTTATTATTAGTTACTAAATCAAGTAGCATGAAATTGGAGCACGAGAAGTATTAATTTAGCTAAAGAGGATCCGTAAGTGCTAACTTAAAACTTGGGAACATGGACATCTGAGCTTTTTTTTTTGTTTGTTATCATTTACTTAGTAACACAAGTTTGCAGTTATTGATAGCAATATTTGATTTTTATGTATGGAAAGATTCAATTTTGCCATCGTGTTGATGGTGTAAGCTATCTGTACAGGACGATTAAGTCGACTTGGCCATTTGAATAGTTCATTAACTTATATTATAGTATTTAAAGTCCTTGATATGTGTGGACTAAATAGCATTTATACACAGGCTCAACGAATTGATGGTGGAATTGTCTTCATTAACTGCCTCCCTTTTTTGTTTGTTAAGTAGAAGTTCCCTGAAATGTAACTGAATAACATCTATCAAAGGACAGTCATTTGGACGTTTTAACAAGAATACAAAATTGAAATATCTGCATGAGCTGAGATCAATAGAAATTTGTGCAAAACGTTATTTCCTCTTTGTAAGGTATTTTTTCTTCTGGAAATCAAACTGAGATATGCACATCCGTGAAACTCTTTTAAGTGGCTTGAATGGCCTTCAGTTGCTCTTTTTTCCTGAATTTTCTTATTGATTTTCAGACATTTGAATAATTGTTTGAGTTTTGGTTCGTCTGACCTCCATTTTTTTTTGTGTTGCAGGCATATTATATTCTTCTTTTACAGTTAAGATTTGAGCTGTGAGTTTAATGTGCCATAGATTGTAGTATTACTATATTGCCATGCACAACTGTGTTAACCGGTTTTCTAACACAGAAAGCGTGTGGACATTGATTCAATGTCAGCATCTAGCAAATTTGATCTATCTTCTGGTAGCCCAGATAGGCCTCTGTACTCATCTGGGCGTCGTGGATCCTACGCTACTGCTCTGGACAGATCAGGTAGCTTTCGCGAGAACATGGAGAATCAAATCTTATCAACTCTTCCAAACATGACAAGAAGCAGTTCTTCTGTGACACATGGAGATGTGATGACTTTTTTTCAATGTGTGCGTTTTGATCCAAAGTCGATGGTCGTGGACCATAAGTTGAATCGACCAGTGGCATTTAAGCGACTTGCAACTGCTGCCGTTGGCATCCCACTAGAAGATCCTCTACCTGGATCTTCAAATAGCAAACCACCGCCTTCTCCATCATCAGATGATCTCAGACGACTCAGGGCTGGTGTACGGGAAGGTGGTAGTAAAGCTAGGTAGTTACCGCTTACTCTTTTTTTTTCTTTTTCATATGAATTTTTACGAGGGATATGGATAATTTCTGAACTTACACCACGTATCAGGGAACGTGTAAAGATATTCAATGATTGTTTATCTGTAATCAACAAATGTTTCCCAACCATTCCATCAAGAAAAAGATCCCGACTGGATACCTTATCAAATGACCGATCCAATGCCTTGTTACCAACTGATCGGTCAAGTTCAGGGATGAGCATCAGCAAAATGGGATCACAGAGTCATGCCAGTACGAGTAGTTTTGAACTGGAGCAACAAAGATCAGAAGAAAGGACAAAAATTTTGATTCCAAACAAGCGCACACGAACTTCTATGGTAGACCCAAGGGTATGTTTGGTTGCTTTCTTAAAATGTTCTTTTCTCTGTACAGAATTGATGTGGTGGTCTTTATGCATTCATTGTTGTTCTCAAGTTGTCTGCATATTTTTTTGTGCTTAATTATACTAGAATGATTATGGAAGGCTGCTTTATAATGTTCTCCTCATTAGCTACTAGCTCTCATCCTTTTGTCTGATTTCTTGTATTATAGGATTGTAATAACTTCTGTTTAGTCTTAATTTTATGTGAATGATTTCCTACTATTGTTCTTACTTGTTTGAAAGTTAGTATCTAAATAAAGATAAGCATTAGGGTTCAAGGTGTTTTGCTCAGTTCTCTTTTTATTTATATTTCCTTTTTATCAATTCGTAATCTTGGTTGATTACCTTTTGTCCATCTTGATTATTCTTTCTGGTTGAATTTAATCTCCTGCTAAACTTTCCCTTGCTTTCTCTATTGGGTTCTCTTCTTTATTCATTTGTACCTTCAAACGATTTCAGTTGATTTATATGGATGTCCAGGCAAATACCCCTGCAAGGCCAGCTGGAGTTAAGGACAAGGATAGGGAGATAATAAGATTTCCTAACAGTGGCATGATTAATGGCGAGGATCGAACATCATCCCTTACCGTTGATGGTTGGGAGAAATCAAAGATGAAGAAAAAACGTACTGGAATAAAGACAGACGGTACTGCAAGTTCAATGGTGATGAAATCTGCTGATGGCTACAGGGAGTCTAAGCAAGTAATGCAGCCACGACTTCCTACTGATGCCCGTTCAAGGATGAATGATTCTTATGGCGCCAGGTATTGCTTCTCATACTGTCACAGGTCAGGCATCTGCTGGTGGTGAGAGATTGATTGCATTTGTTTTTGTAGAGCAAGTTTTGCTAAGCCTAAAAGAAAGTTAAAGTTACTTCAAAGTGAATTTTTGTTATCAAACATGTTTGGGTGGGTTATGTGCTCTAGTTGCTTATGTTGATGGTAGGGGAGGGGTCACTTTTAAGTAACTGCATATTTCCAACTCTTACTGACCAAAAAAAAAAAAGGAAAAAATCATTTGAATCCTTTCTTATTTACTTAAAGACTTACTTATTGGTGATTTTATGCTTAGCCAAACATGTGCTTTATGTTGTTATGAAGTTGTTTGCGGTCATTTGAGTAATTGGAATCCTATTTTTAGCAATTTACTTTTATCAAACTGAACAAGGAGAATTTTTTTGAAATGAAGGGCTGTAAACTGAGATTGGATTCATTTTGCCAAGAGTTTTGTTGATATTAACTTCTGTTATGATCTTTAATTCAATTTTATTGGTCCTTTGGATGATTACAAGTTACAACAATATAGTCTACTATTTTAAAGTATATGGTATTTTTTTAATTCCATGGTTTTACAGAAAAGAAATAGGTTAATACAACTATGTTGCTCACGCTTCAAAGTTTTCCCCCCTTACTTTCATGGATTCCATCTTGTACTACCTTGTGTACTTAGCCCTTGTTTGAGCCCCATTTTTGGGGGGGGAAAAATGAATTTTTGAATAGTGTATTTATGGGAAATATGTGGTTAAAAAATAAAGAAAAATTTTAGATTTACGTGTAATATTATTTTATTGAAGATTGTGATTGAAATGATGTCAAAATATTGTAGAAAAATGCATTTTTCCCCAAAGAATGGGGATCAAACAAGGGCTTAATATATTTTAGCTCATGTAACGAAAATGTTAAAGCTCTGTACCTTCTCTGTTATGAACTGTTGATGGTTCATCCACATTTTTATTCATGTTCTCAGGTAGAATCACAAATTAGAGGCATCTGTAGTGGAAACGATATGTTGTGAAGTCTGGTTTTAGTGCTTATGGTCTTGGCATTTTACTATTTTAGAACGTGATAGATTAATTGTTTAGACTAGATATGATGTTTTATATCCTATTCTGTTGTATCGCTGAGTATCTAATCTCGTACCAGTTTTGGAGTTTCTTGATCCATCTGTGGAATGCTGATTTTATATAGTATGTGGTCTTGATTTTCTGTATGCAGCGCACCACTTGTGACTTTTGATGTTGGGTTATGTGACTTATGCTCGTTGATTAAATTTAGAGCACTTTTGGTTTCGAAAGTTCCTTTGAGATTTTGCTTCACCTTCTGTTTGCTTGGTTGCCCAATGACCTGCCCTATAAATTCATGTTTCAACTGTCAGTTACCCTGTAAATCTTCTCGGGATCAGTAAATGATAGTAAAATGAGGAACTTGACAGCTAAGTTGCACGCGACACGGACATGACTCGACAAGGACACGCCAACATGATTTTTTGAAAAAGTAGGACACAGACATGTTGGGGACACGATTTTAATTCTTTAAAATTTTAATTCATATGTTAAATCGCTACTGGCTGGCATGTCCAACACTTGCCCGATGGGTGTCTATAAAATATCTCGAGTGTTGGTTATTTAAAGATTATATAAAAGAAATGGGGGCAAGGGCACATGATTGAGTACATGTCCTTGAGTTTCCGCAGTGTGTCATGGTCCGACATGTCATGTTCTAGTAGAAGTGTCTGTGCGTCATAGCTTGACGGCCTCTGCTGTTGTCCTATTTTCAGAACAAATGTTTCTGTTTAAATCTTTTGTAAACCCGATTGGATACAACCATCTTTTCTATTGGAAATTAGTAACTGCTGGGGAACCGTTTCAATTTTTTTTTGTGTTATTTTTTAATTTCATTTTTCTTTATATTGCTTGGGTCAAGCCTCATTTTTTATCCAAGTGAGGACTATCATTTTCCAAACCTAATACTCTTAGCATTAACCTTGAAGCAGACCTGGGATTGCCAATGGGAGTGTAGGAGTTGGAAAAGCTGAATCCTCCTCGCAGCAGACTGGCTTAGGCACACGGCCTATCTCTAGGGCTGAGCTGGACAACAGCCCCATTCTTCATGAGAGGAGAGAGCGTCCAACTGCTCCAGAGAAAGAAAGGGTGAATCTTAGAGCTGTTAACAAGTATGGAAATTATCATCTCACTTTTCTTACTTAAAAAATTTGGTTGATTGCATGGTTCCACGATTTATTCATTTTTCTTCTTTTCGATATTTCTCTGGCAGTTGGATTGGGACTGTATGTGGGGATGGGGTTCGCTTGTGTGCTTGGATCCATATGTATTACTTTTTTGGATTTTCTTTTCCCTGGTGTAAATATCCCTCTTTCATGTTAGATAACTGTTTATTTCTTTTGTTCCATTAACCAGGGCAAATGCCCGTGAAGATTTCAGTTCAGGCAGCCCTACCTCTAGCTCAAAGTTGAATGCAAATGCTCAGGCTCCACATTCTGGTACTGAAGGTGGTGTATCCAAGTTCTCTCAAGTGGTGCAACTGGCTACAGAATCTAATGATTGGGAGCTTTCTAACTGTACAAGCAAACTACCTGGTGCTGTTGGGGCTAATAACTGTAAACGCACACCTTCAACGCGGTCTTCTTCACCTCCTGTTGCTAATTGGGTCCAGAGACCGCAAAAGATCTCTCGAACAGCAAGAAGAACTAATATTGTTCCTATTGTCCCCAGCAATGATGAGACCCTTACCGTTGATACGACATCTGAGGTGACGAGGAATGAAAGATGCATGCCTGGCCATTCTCCTCGGCAAATTAAACAAATAAGTGACTTCTCTTCAGCTGCATTTTCTGAAAGTGAGGAATCAGGGGCTGCTGAAGCTAAGCCAAGAGACAAAAACAAGAAGTTTGATGAGATGGATGAAAAATGTGGACAAAATATCCATAAAATGTCAACCCTTCTGCTACCACCTAGAAAAAATAAGGCAGCTAGTGGGGAAGACCATGGAGACAGTGTCCGAAGGCAAGGGAGGAGTGGCCGTGGCTTTACTTCCACCAGGTCCCTCATGACTTTAACAGTTGAAAAACATGGAAATGTCGGAACAACAAAACAAATAAGAAGTTCAAGATTTGGTTTTGAAAAAAATGAAAGGTTCAATATAATTTCCCTTTTCATTTCATCCCTCTTTTGCTTATTTGCTCCTCCATAATGAGCGCTAACATGTTTATCCCGGCTCCATTTTATTCAAAATGCATTTTTCTCACTCTTATTTTCAACTACATATTCTACAATAAAATAATAATATTTGTAAATCCAAAACTTTTCTTACTTTTTTAACCTCACATTCTTAGAAAAATCACTATTTCAAAATATATTTATCTCCAAAATTTGATTTTTATGGAGCCCAAACAAAGGCTTATTCGTTTGAGATCTTCTTATAACTTGGTGAACATTTTGTTCGACAGGGCAGGTCGACCACCTACGAGGAAACCCTCTGATAGGAAGCCTTATACACGTCAGAAGCACACAGTTAATATAGCACCAGATTTTCTAGGTAATTAACTTTGGTCTAAATATTTAATTTGTTATATCTATATAACACAATTAGCTGTATGTGTTTATTACTGTTTTTTATTTTTTTCCTTTCAATTTTTTTAGTTGGTTCAGATGATGGGAATGAAGAGCTGTTGGCTGCTGCAAATGCTGTTACAAATACTGGTATTTTTTTTAAATAGAAAAAGTTGTTTCTCAATTTCTTAGAATATTTTCTTTTTGTGGCATTGATTTGTTTGTTGTGATTACAGCACTAGCCCTTTCTAACTTGTTCTGGAGGAAGATGGAACCTCTGTATCGTCTCATATCTGATACAGATATTGCATATCTGAAAGACCAGGTACCTATGTTGTATTTGAAGAACTCTTGAGCTATGATCCAGCAAGAAGCGACTTCTTCTAGCTCCTGATGTATAGCAATCAAATGTCGTCACTTGCCTTATCAACGTGTTTTTATTCTTTGTTTAATATCTAAGAATTAGATGTGTATTCCTTTATCAAGTACAATATTCTCTCTTGTTACCTGCTGAACTTTATTCTGCAACAACTGTCATGGTTCAAATTAGGCCCGAATTTGTTAAAGCTTACTTAACCAAGCAGTTCATCACTGTGTATGTAACAACTGCTGATTATCTTAGACACCAAAACTAATATTTACTGTGTCATAACTGCCATAACCACCGTAAGTTCCCCTCATATTAAAATTTACTTTTATGTTGATTATAATAACTGTATCAATACTTCACTTGAAACAGAATTCATGTTTTTTTTTATAGGTAATCAGAGAATTTTATTCCTTAAAAGAGAGAACACGGGAGGTATACAATCACTTTAAGCATGAAGGGAACAACAAGAAATTAGGCAACCCTACAACAAGATTTTTAGTCACTGCATTAAACTAAGTATACAAAGTCAAGTAAAATAATTCTCTTATCTGCTCTGTTGTCTTTGTTTAGTCTTCGAAACATCGATCGTTCCGTTCTCTCCATATGCACTATACAATGCATCCCGAGATAAGATTCCAGAGAAGTTTGCTATCCTTATCTCGAAGTTTTCTTCTCGATGCCCGCACCAAGTCTTCTATACGCTTAGGTAGTACCCAATCCATTGATTGAGAAGTCAGAATACTGTTCCAAAGCCAACGTACACCATCACAATGAATGAATAAATGATCAATCATCTCTCCATCCTTCTTGCACATATTGCACCACTCGGTTACATAAAATCCTTTTCGTCGAAGATTATCCACCGTTGACACCTACCCCCTCATAACTGTCCACAATAGAAATGCTACCTGTGGAGGCAATTTACTTTGCCACACCATCTTCCAAGGTAATGAACTCTCCACAAATCCCAAAAGGGATTGAAAGTATGAGCGGACTGAAAAAATACTATCTCGAGCCAACCTCCACCTGCTACAATTACCCTCTCCTACCCGAATTTGTATCTCATGCAGAGCGGTCAAAAACAACGAATAATCTTCCAATTCCCAATCCAGTAAGCCCCTCCCAAAAGTAATATTCCAACTATAACCCCCATTATGGATGTTAAGTACATCACCCACCATAGCAGCAAGCTCTAATGCAATGCGGTACAATGAGGGAAATCCCTCCTTTAACGGTTGATTGCCACACCAACTATTATCCCAAAATCTAATATCAGTGCCATTTCCCACCACAAAATTTAGTTTGTAAAATCACTCCATCCCCGTCGGATATACCTCCACAAACTCACCCCATAGGAGCCACGACCCTCAACTGTACACCAACCCCCCTCCATCACACCATACTTTGCTCTAATGATTTCTCTCCAAAAGCTCTCCCTCTCCAATCCAAATCGTCACAACCACTTGCCCAATAAAGCTTTATTAAACAAAACAAGGCTCCTCACTCCAAGCCCCCCATCCTCATAGGCAAACAAATAGTACCACAATTAACCAAATGCATTTTCCTCTCCTCCCCTAACCCTACCCACAAGAATTCTCTTTGAAATCTCTCTAATCTGTTTGCCACTACAACCGGAATAGGAAATAATGACAAAAAGTAAGTGGGGAGATTTGAGAGAGTGGATTTAATTAAAGTAAGTCGGCCTCCCTTAGAAAGATACATACGCTTCCACCCTGCTAACCT